GCCTGCAGGAGACGGGACCTCCATTTATTCGTCCCTATCCGAGAAGACTAGAATATCTAACCATTTCTTGATGTTATAGAAAGGCAGCAAATTCTTCTCAATTATTTTAAGACCCTGAGTGTTGGTCCGGCCGGGCCTCGAACCCTCGACCTCCCGCACAACAGTCCAGAGCTCTATCCATTGAGCTAACCGGGAGGCGGTGTTCGCAGAGTCCAATCAGAAATGGACTTCTGATTTGAACAATGTTCCGCGCCTTTTCAAAACGAATACGGCTATCAGGTTCAATATTCAAATAATCAATCCATTATTGCATTCTTGAAACGGTTAGCGGATTCCATGCTGAAATATTCAATTCGTTATTGCGCTCCTGAAACGATTAGCGGGTTCAATATTCAAATAATCAAATCATTAATGTAATCCTAAGGGGTACGCTTCACTTAGTTTGACTGTAATATTGGTTGAGTTAGCATTTTGGGCACTAGTGTTGGTTTTGGCATTTTGGCCACTTGTAGCCGATTTGGCGTTATGGCCAGTAGTACGTGGCAGTCTTGGCATTTTGGCCACCGATTTGGCATTTTGGCTACTAGCGGTTGATTGGGTATTCTGGCCAGTAGTGGGGTATTGGTTCTTGTACTGGTAACTTCGTGTTTTTGCCGCCAGTGGCCGATTTGGCAGTTTGGTTACTCGGTGGATTTTTGACCCAGTAATGACAAGTTTTAAAATAATAGAGGCACTTTTTGGTAGTTAATCTTCTTTTTTCTGTGATTTATGGACAAAATATTTACTTTGTAATCCAATTAATTATTTTTATCACTTCTCCTGTGAAATTTTATGATTTTTGCTTTTAAATAGATGGACTTTCAAAGACATTGGGCACTTACCACCCTGATATCGATAAAATTGTGTTTGATGGTACTCGAGTTTTATGGAAAGGTAGGTCGTATGTTTAGGTTACATTTTTCTTCTGAGAAAGTAAACACACCTTTCCTCTTTACGGACTGGAGCTCTAATCAAAAGAAGGGTGTTTTATTCCTCCTTCTCAGTGGTCCTGAAGACTCGTTAAACCTTTAATTCTTATGAGTGACTAGGACAGTCACAATACAAATACAACATCAATCACACAAGTCATCAGAATAAGGAAAAATATAAATCAGGGTCCAGTTGCTTGAAGGACGACCTGCACTAACAGAAGGTTAAATTTTAATCCAGGTTTCCTTATTTCTCTATTACAGAAGTTTTTTGGGATAATTTTCCCTATTCTTTGGAGAGCATCCGATCATCAAATTATAGACGAAAATAGTTAAACTGAACTTTCTTTTGAAGCTTTCAGATCTAAAATTAAATTTCACACTAACCCTGGGCTATCTTAACCTAGCTTTGAACAACCTGGCCCTGGAGATTATTAGTTGATAAATGCCAAATTCTCTGATCTAGCATCATAAGAATTATATGGCAGTGAAAAAGTTAAGGCAGCCAGTGTGTTGTCATACACTTGCTTCCTTTTCTTGAGTCAATGATATGTGTGATTTTGGTGTCAATATCCCTCAGAGTTCCGAAAGAAATCCGACGACTTCCGAACATGGCCGAATATTGCCGACGATTTTGCAATAAACTACAAAGGTTGATAGATATGAAAATGAACGTAAAACAAAAGATTTTGCACTACTTCCAAGTTTCAGTCATTTCTAGTCTTTCTTTCTTGGCGTTTTGTATTCGCACACTTGCAAAACATGTCGTGAAAAATAGCCCTCACATACAGTGACAGTATTCCTTAACTTCTCGTCTTTGAGTGTCTGCCATAGCAAATTTTCTGTTAATTTTTAAGGTGGCGCTCCTCCGACTGATGGAAAAGTTACCATTTATGAGAAACAGTACGTTTCCACGCCTCTGTTTTGCGTTATCGTTATTTTGACCAGCGGTGGCATTTTAATGGCGGTGTACTTTCTACGATTTAATTTTCTTCGACGCAGGCACCGGTAAGTACAGGAAGCTGTACGGTATAGTAGATGACTCGTAAATGGATATTTCGAGTGTGTCCGATAACGAAGGAACCGAAAAGAAAATTCATTTTCTTTGCAGTTTTTCGTTAAAATAGAGGAGGTAGATAATTGCAATGCTTAATTTTTCGGGAATTTAATCATGTACAACCATTTTTATGCCACAGGCAAGAGCTCAGATGCTTAGATAAGGGGGATTCTTTTGGTTGTCCGCTGATCCCCCACCCCTTCCTCCACAACCTCCCCTTGTGTGTTGAATTAGTATTTCTACGTGGGTCGCATACAAGTCCTATGAGTCAGTTTTGCGAAAACATGCAGATCTGCAGAATCTACATGGCATAGTTATTTTCCGCAGTTAGATTCTTTATTTACCAGTCTTTCTCGCCGCATGAATACGAGCCCGCTGATATAGATACACAAGGAAGAGCAGCGGCTTAGGCCAAATCACGTAAAGCGTTGCAATGTTCCTGCACTTCTTCACGCCATATTTAAGTTATTTTTTATTGACTTTTTCGTTTTGTTTTTTTTCTTTCAGCCATATCAAGTTATCAAGTCCAAACCTTAACAACGTGATAATCCTCGGATGTGTATTTATCTACATATCTATTTATATGATCGCCATCGATGGCAAATTGGTGGACACAAACACACTAGCGGGGCTGTGCAAGGTAAGTTTACCCGGACAACTATCCTCCCATACACAAGTCTGAAAATTTCAGTGTCCTTCGATATCGGGCCACGGGAGAGAATATCGTACGCAAATCAAAACGAAACAGACCTGGCTCGGCCTTACACCTAATACTGATAAAGTCTTCTTGATGATAGACGCGTTGGTCTAACTGTTAGTGAGCGGCAGTCAGGAACGAGTGGTCTGGGTTCGAGCCCCGGCCGAGTGTGTTGTGGAGTCTTGGGCAAGACATCTCACACTCACCCAGCCTCTCTCCATCTAGCGAACAGTCTAAAATTGTTGTACCCGCAAACTGCCTTACAAACTTTATAAGATTCTGTCGGTGATCGATAGGTATCCCAGCCAAGAAGGATATTAACCCTCTTGGGTCCAGTTGTATAAAGGACGGATAACGCTATCCAACATATAAATCGCTATATGGCGGATACTGTCATAGCAAAACGTGTAGCGTTATCAGCTGTTTTCCACCGAAAAGAGTTTAATCCAGTAGGCAGCGTTATTCAACCTTCGAATTACCGGGGCCTGATCGCTTAAAAAGGAAACTGGGATGACCTCCGGGAGTAATCGGCCATGAGGCTCGTGGGGATTTACCTTTAGTTCTTGTTGATGTTGTTGCAATCAGCTTGCCGACCAAAGGAATTTTCTTTTGATTTTAGGCTCGAGGTTTTCTCTTGTCTGCTGGTTATAGTTTTGCAGTTGGTGCGATGTTCTCAAAGCTGTGGCGAGTGTATCAAATTTACAGCAACTTTAGACCTAAAGAGAAGGTATATGTTCTCAGTCTCGTAATAATACCAAAGAAAATGCTGTGACCAATCACAGAAAACTGTACGTAACACAATTTACCTATGAGAATAGAGAGAAACTACGCGCGACCTTTAATTTGCAAAGGACGGGAAAACGTCCTCAGCCACAGCATTAAAATCTGATTGGTTGAATGGGGCCAGCATTTTGACCAATCACCGCAAAAAATAGAATCATGAAAAAAAAGTTGAGATTTGGCTTTGCGATTCAGCTGAAAATTACTGTGTTGTATAAATTCTTCCTCTATTCACCACAAGTAGATTTTAAATTTGATGAAAATAGAGTCAATTTAAAAAATTCCTATAAGATGATTCGAAAAACCGCAAAGGTTAAAAATAAGCGCATTAATGCCAAAAATTTCCCTAAAGCATCGTCTTCCGAGAGTGACCGCAAAAATGTATAATATGAGTTCTTACTCCTAAAGACCTTTGGCCGTCATGCTCACAATTTTTGCTTCCTCAGGCACTCAAGTATAAGGAACTTATTGGTTTTATGGTAGTTCTGCTGTTAATTGACATAATCGTGATGTCTTTGTGGATTGGAGTGGATACACCTGAGATTGTTACAACTGACATACAGACACAGGTCAGTCAGATAGGTGAAAGAGATCAACGTACAATTTCTCTGTGATTTTTCACAACGTAGTCATGCAAAAGGGTCAGGGGAATGTAGATCGTGATCACAGCAGCAACTTTCTACTTTTGGTCAACAGCTGAACAATCTCGACCGACCATCGATCGACTGTCGATGGACTATTGATCGATTATTGGGTGTCAATCAAACGATCATCGATCGAGTTATCCACTATTCTATGATTTTATTTTTGGACATTTTCTTGTTACATTTTATAAGTATATTCGCCCCAAACTTGTGAAAATATCTCAACACACTTGTTTCTTTTCAGTTTAAGGAAGAACCTCACTTTAGAGTTATACCACAGGAACAATACTGTACTTCCAGATACTTTACCACTTGGCTCTACATTCTGCTCGGCTACAAAGCTCTCTTATTAGTGATTGGATGTTTCATTGCGTGGATCACACGCGGGGCCAAAGTCCGCCTGCTCAATGACTCGCGTTACGTGTGCATGAGCTTGTATAACATAATACCTTGCGTTCTAGTGGGTATACCACTGGCCTTCCTGATTAATGGTCACGTAAACGCGCTTGTGGCGTGCGTATCGTTTTTTCTGCTCCTTCCTACAACAGTGACGCTTTGTTTGCTTTTCGTCCCGAAGGTGAGAAACGAACATTTTTTTTTTTACTTGGCTTCAACCCTATGGGTACTTCATAGGCATTCCAGGACTGAGACGTATTTTGGAAGGCAACTTATTTTCCCATACGCTTTCCTTTTGATCTGTAACAACTGCTAATGACAATAACACACACGGTGACATAATGGAGGGTATTACTTATTATTTGAAATAGTGGTATTTAACGAACCTACAAAATTACGATCCCCTCTTCACAATGTAATAGGAACCCTTGTGGGGGAGGGTGGAGTCGTTTTCTGAGGAGGAGGGGGTTAAGTGTTTTTCTTCATGTCCCTTTATTTTCAAAAATGATTTGAAATTTCTCTAAAAAAGTCGCACAGAAGAAAGTCTCTGGGTGTTTGGGTATATAAGAATCCTTTTTCTGATAATAGGAAGTTCATTGCTTACATAAATCTACGAGTAAAAAAAGGTTCAGAAAGTTTCTCAACACTTTTGAAAAAAATTATTTTGTTTCTGTCGTAGATTTTGAAACTCAAGAAAAATGCAGAGGAGCGATTCCGGATTACTGCTATACAAAGTCCCACCCGAAATGTAGTGGAAGTAAATTACGATTCGCTTGATTCATCTCATTCTGTCAAGGATCCTAGTGCGGATACAAAACTTCAGGAAGAGATAACCACGCTGAAGAAAGAAATACGTGCGATTAAACTTAAACACGGAGAAAATGCAACTCCAAACCTGTCGGTTCGAATCGCCGAACCAGTTGAAAATGGCCGGGAGGGGAAATCTTTCGCCCAGCTACCTGAAACACCGCTGACCAGACCCAAACTTACCAAGCGGGCAGTCACTTGTCACACCACGCAAGAGTTGTGTGTTCGAAAGAGGCGTAGACGTCGGTCATCCTCGTTTTCCGGACCGTACTTGCAACGGGGATCACTCGATATTGGGTCATTCTATTCCGAGCTAGCTGATCCGCTATTGGTGCTGAAAGCGGAGAACCGAGAACTGAACAGAAAACTTCAGGAAGCGAGAATTTCCGAGGCGGGAAAGCTGGCTAAAGTGTGGCATGAAAATGCACAGCTTCACCGCAAGATTGTGGAGCTCAACCTCAAGAGTGCTCCGAGTGAAGAAGCTGATAAAGTGTCTCGCTTGCTCAAGGAGAATGCGGAGTTGAAGAAGCAATTAGGGGAAGTCAGTATTTTGAATTCAGTTTGGTGTGATGTAACACCTCAAATCCAGAGGAAACAGAACGAAGACAGGAAAATTTCTAAAGATTTAAGAGAGGTTAGAGACATAGAGAAATTATTTCCAAAACCTTCTGTTTATCTATCTGTTCAATCATTTATTTTCTACTTGTTTGTTTGTTTCTTTGTTTGTTTGTTTTTAAGTTAGTTGTAGGGCCTGAGAGTATCCTGCTCAAGGGTTTACAGAGTCGGTGGAATGTTTTCTGAACATGGGGGCACATGGTGCAAAACTCTTATCATAGACCCCCCTCAAAATTTTCCAAAATACCCTTAGTAAATCGTTATGGCAAGCAAACCTATTTTCTTGCCTAGCAGCCCGCCCAAACCACAAGTGACTGACACTGCATAAATAGCCAGTTATTGAGAAAAAGATGTCAAGTAAACTCATACAGCTCCCTCAGCCAATAAGATGCACAGCGAAAGCCACCTGCGACTTGGAGGTCACCCACGTTCGCCTCCTTTTCAGACAGCCACCTTGTTTTTCTCTACCATCATTGGCCATTGTAATAACGATGCTTTTGGTTCATTCAATATACAATCGAAAAGCGCCCTAACTTAAGCTACTGAAAACAGTGTAAAGTTTGGATTGGCTTTGGAATATAGAAGACGTGATGACAATTCAAACCTACACTCAGTGACAAAATTGTTGACATATTGACCTTTTCAAACTCTCATTTCTTCAAATTCATTCCTTTTGACCTTGTTTAGTTAGCCTATTCACCCCCTCCACCCCAAAACAAAGTTGCATCGAGATTCCGGGAACTGTTTAGCTTCATAGAGGCAGCATTAAATGGGGAGGGGGGGGGAGGGGTTATATCAATGATTTCTAGCATGGTACGAAAGGTTGTGTTTTTCAGCACATATTTAGCACTGTTAAAACACGATGTGTCAACTAATTTCGTCGCTGATTGTAGGAATTTTCGTGTTTTTCTTCATCAGCTTCAGCAGCTTCTCAGTGTAGACCTCGCTGGTCGCAGACCAGGTTCTTTCCGTCCTTCCTCTGTCACAAGACCACCTCCCATCGGTCGCTCCCAGTCCTCAACCGAGTTGCATTGCAACTGGAACAGAACCCCATCTGCTGACAAGAAAAGACCCATAAGCCCTCTCGCAATAAACGCCGTGAAACGATTTAGCTTCGAGGGCATGGACAAAAGACAAAATTTCTGCGCGAGTAAAGATCTAAGAGCTGGCATAGCGCCAGCGGAGGCTGAAGCAGATAAGCCAGTGACGAGTGTGTCTGAATCTCCACTAACTGTGATAAACGAACCCAGAAGCACGGAGAAAAGTCCATCCACAATTCGGGGAGACAACATAGATGGTTGCGAATCGGAAAAAGAAACTTCTGAGATCGGTGAAAGAAGCAACGCGGGATTTAGCGGGCATGAAGATGAAGATGTAATTCACTTAAAATCGGTGGATAGAATGGAGGAATATATTGAGAAATCTACCGATTTGAAACACGCGAAAGAACACGCCGTAATAAGCAGCCAAAATGTAACTCCGAGGATCACAGACTTCCCAATTCTTTGTCACGATCGGCTCTTTACGTCAAAACCGAAAAAGGATGACATTTGCGATCCAAAGTCGAATTCGTCGTTTCGTGAACCTTCGCGCGAAAGCGATCAAAATCTTTTTAGTGCTGAGGCTTCTAAAGTGGTACTCGATGAAAATGACAATTTGCAAAATACTGTAATACTACAAAGCCAATTGCCGGTTAATGACTTTGATACAAACCTTGAATTTTCCGAGGAAGTAAGGGACTATGCAACTCAGACTGGAGAAAGGGTGGAATTGTCAGACCCGCGGACAATGGACTCCCCAGTACATGACGTAAATCCCTTGCGAACAGAGAATGTATCATGTAACCAAAGTCCAAAAGACTTTCCGGCTTACAAGAGAAAAGTGCAAAGGAAGAAAGATAAGAAGAAAAATGACAGAATAGAGAAAACATTTTTTGTGTAATCAATTCCGACGAAAAACTCGTTAGTCGCTGAAATATTTGTTTAATCACTTAGTACCCGAGGGAAGTGTCAAGGGAAAAAAAGCGAAATTTGTCCAGTCTAGTGTAAATATAAAGATGAAAAAAAAAAATCTGTCTGCTAACATCCATTATCACCAAATCAAAGTTACCTCCAAAATCCATTTCCAGGCCTTTAACAATTGACCAAGGCGGAGAATGGGGCGAGTATTTCCGATAGAAATTAAAGTAAAACCCCGCCGGAGTATCGGTTTTTCCAAGGAGCGTAAAGGTTGGGAGAGAGAAAAAGAAGTAAAGCGATTCCTCCCGCTCTCGCTCGGCTCCACTCCCCCTTCAGTGGAAGGCCTGGTTCTAACGCTATCCTGACCCCTCCCTTAACAAATATTTCCGGACTCATGTTGAACTCATCAGAATAAATAAGCTTCCATGATGTAAGATTTATTCCAGTTTACGCCATTTTTTTTACA